TCTAATGCATCGTCACGCATACACCTAAGAGATCTCCCTAACAACAGAGCCGTATAAGTGACGTCCCATCCAACCGAAACCACCCCAACCATTTACACGCACAATACGCCCACTAGGTCACACCTAAACAGGATATAATCCTCACTCGGGTTTACCCGGATGATGTCACTTACACAATTGGAAGTCTAGATCCACCGTCAGGTATAGCACAGCTGGTACAGGCTTACCACGACCTTGGCATGCATTACCAAGTCAATTGTAGAGTTCGCCCACCAACTATCCGCAAGGATCCACGCACCTTCCCGTCACCTTGGCTATTTTTGGCCACCTCCCATCTTATCTCCACCTTGAGAGCAAAACCCTAGAAGTGGCCTTCACCTACCTTGAAGTGAGCCAAATCCTAGAGTGCCCTCTCAAACCTTTCATCAAACACTTCATCCACACTCTCCATTTTTATCCATTCCACCATATTCCTTCTCTAAACAAGACGCCACCTTTGAAGAACTTGATCCAAGGAGTCAAGGTGTCCTCACATTGATCAACCAATCCATCAATGCTAGCAAAGATGCCATCATAAATGTTCACTTCCTCTGCCCATAAATGTTTAGGTAAATCATTTTCACAAAGAAGTGTTATAGCCATTTCTTGCAAGGTTATATTATTTCTTTCAACTACCCCATTTTGTTGGGGTGTCCGAGGTGAAGAAAAGTTGTGAAAGATACCTTGTTTTTCACAAAAAGTTTTAAAATTAGAGTTTTGAAATTTTGTTCCATGATCACTTCTTATGATAGATATGTAAAATCCTTTTTCATTTTGAACACGCTTGTAGAATATTTCAAAGACCTTAAAAGACTCATACTTATGGCTTAGGAAATATACCCATGTGAATCTAGAATAGTCATCAACAATGATAAAACCATATTTTTTGCCTCCAAGACTAAGGGTTCTAGCTACACCAAATACATCCATATGTAACAATTCTAGTGGTCTAAAAGTAAAATCGTTCTTTTTTGCTTTGAAAGATGACTTTGTCTGTTTCCCTCTCTGATAGGCTTCACAAAGAAGATGAGTTTTCCAAGAAATTTCAAGTAGTCCTATTACCAACCTTCTTTTGGATATTTTTTGAAATGTGTTTCATGTTGACATGCCCAAGATTTTTGTTCCAAATTAATTTTTCATCTTCTCTACAAACTAGCCATGTTACATTCTGTTTGCTCAAACTAGTCAGATCAATCACTCTATTTGAGTAGTAAAAAAATACGGATCCATCACTCTATTTGACTATGCATGAAATTTTTTCAAAAGATAAAGTAGATCCATTATCATAAAATTGACTTATGCTAAGCAAATCATACTTCAATCCTTCTACATAAAGAACATTACAAACAATAGGTGTAGAAGATCGGATCATAGCCTGTGCGAACACATAAGGGAACTCGATCACAACTTGCAGATTGTAGGATAGCGAGTGAGTCAACTTATGGAAACCCGTTGTTTCCATGCACTAATTCAAAATGAATGTTATATCTAACAAAAAACCTGAGCAAATGCAAATGATAGAGTCGAATACATCCCTGCAGCCCTTTCTCTATAAGAAACAAATCTTTGAACGGAAACAACAGGCTGAACAGCTGTGCCATTTGTTATACTAATGAAGAGGATTGCCGAATACATGGATTCCATGGCATTGAATAGATCTTGTTGCGTCTCCCTGCAAAAATACTAACATGGTTGGTACATAAAGCCTGATTGTTAGAAAACATAAAATATGTCAGCTAAATATAATTGTTAGAGAAGTAACCTCTAGCATCCACGTAGCAAGGTTATATCCATATCTGATCTTTTGAACTCCATTGATTGCCTACAGAGATATAGATATTATGAATAACATTCAACCATACCACATGATCAGTGAGAGCTAAGAGCGCATCATCTGACCTCAAAATAACTGATTAGTTCACTAGATTTAGGACCAAGTGGACATAAAGTCATCTTAGAGAGATCAATTTACCAGAATTAAAATTGGAGTGTAGCAACGTGAAGAAATGATAAATAAACTGTCACGATGCCAAATTTGCTGCAGAACAGGTGAATATTGCTATCTTGTTCCAACGTATACAAGTAATGAAGCCTGAAGATCACGATCAACCTTGGAGTGAGCATTAAAAAATCTTTTTTCCTGTTGTTGAATCCCAATGTTAGAAAATAGAGGACAAATTGTCGGTATTAAGCATCAGAAAATCGTGTAATAATTAACTTAGGGAAGTCTTATTAATTACCTCTCTATAATCAAATGAAATTAAAAGGAAAAATTTTGTCCTAAAAGTCCTCTGCCCCGATATCACAATATCATAGCATACCCCTATTTTAACTGTTGGCATTCTAGATGCCACTCGCAGCCGGATCTTCTTCACCTAAAACATCCACAAAATTGTACGGTGAGAAAAGAAAACATTTTTATGAAAAGTACATACAAACACACAACATGCCATCTCATTATAACTCGATACTTAACAAAATATTCATAAACATTTCAATGTATCATAACTTTATCAATCGCGCATCGTCATCACGTCACAATTCGCAATCACAACAATCATCACAAATCTTGAAATCAACCCTATGCCAAGGTCACGCCTATAGCATCTCTTGCCCAAGGTCGTGCCACCCCCGACAT